CTGATGCTGAAAAACCACAAACTGTATAAAACTGCAGGAAATTAAGTGTTTGTGGATGCTTAACGTTTCCCCTCTTGATGTGTACCACCCAATGTTTCAAACGCCCATGCCTTTGTGTGTAAAATGTCACACTTTTAAACATCCTCTAGATCCTCTGTATTCAATGCTGCAGACACCCTGGTGTTAAACAGTGGAGGACTGACAGTATCCAATCACAGCCCAGATCTCAGTATCATGTGATGAGGTGTTGGAGGCTTTGTGTCTTACCTGCTGTTGTTGCTCTGAGGCTCCTTCTTGCTCTCAGAGTCTGACGCTCTGGGACAGTCTTCAGGCCGCAGCTGGGCCTTGAGAGCCGAGGCGAGCAGCTGCAGGACCAGCTGGGACACCACCTTAATGATCCTCCCAGACACTTGAGCCATGTGAGTCTGAGACACCTGCAGGAGAAGAGACAGAGGGAAAATATGTTTTACATTCACATTTACAACAAGTATCACCAGGAAAATGTGGTTAAAGTATCAAAACCAAAAGTAACATTAACAGTAACAGTACTCTGATCTCTGATGAGATAATATAAATATAACATATTGTGTAATTCCTCATGTGTGCGAGCAGTTTAGTTGGAGCTAATTTAGGGCTGTTGTGTTATTGTTATTGATCAGTCTGTTCATTGATTGATTTGTTAAACAGCTGCTCATCCACACAGAGAAACTTCATCGTGTTCATGAGCCAGTGATGAAGAGGAAGAGAGGCTGACACTCAGGAACTTACCGGATCCACCATCCTGTCCTGGACACTCTGCAATTTGCGGTCCTCCATGGTGCTGATGAAGGCTTGGAGGAGACGGAGTTCAGGTCCATGGTGGTGTTCTCCTGGTTGGTTTCCATCATTTCTCTTGGAGGAAAAACTCTTCACTAATAATTTGAGACATCGAAACTGCTATGTGCAACTGGTTTCTTCTGTTGTTCACACTGGTAAACTGACTCTCGCTGGTCAGTGGTTCACATATCACTTGATCTGTTGTATGCAAATGTCAAGGAGGCTTACACTGCTTCAGCTCTACCATCACTTGGCAGATCAGATCATAAGCTGGTTTTTCTTCAGCCTTCCTACAAACCCTGTGTACCGAGGCTGCAACCACCTGCTCAGTCAGGAACTGGGCCCCGGAGGCCAGTGAGTCTCTAAAAGACTGTTTTGAGAGCACAGATTGGAATGTCCTGTTGGAGTCACAGGAAAATGTCTGTGTCTGTGAGGCTGTTTAAAGGACTGTGCAGCCCAGCTGACTGAGCCTCTCAAGAGGATCTTCAACTTAAGTCTACAAACAGGGAGGTGGCACCTTGGTGGCTCACCTGGTAG